CACTTCCCACCTCCCTCCCGCCGTCTACGTCGGCCCCCTCTCCGCCCTCTCCTCCTCCTCCCTCCTCCACACGGTCTCCCAATACCTCCCCCACACCTTCCCCGACGCCGACCTCTTCTGGTCCATCAACGGAATCGCCGCTCCCGATTTAACCCTCGTCTACGTCCCGGAGAACTGCCACCTACAAGACCCCATCCACTTCCAGTACACTCCGCCGCAGCCCCCCACCACCCACCCTTCCGACACCATGTACCTTTCCAATCCCAGGGTCCTCGTCGTGCTCGAGAAAGGCGCACGTGCCCATATAACTGAAGACTTCTCCTTCGAGCAGGGGAACGACAACGACCGTTATTGGAGTAACGCTGCTTTTGAGGCGGTCATCGGAGAAGGTGCCAAGCTTTCTCATTCTTACATCCAGACACAGTCTTTCCATGCCGCTCACACCAAATGGACCTCCGTTCGCCAGGTCACAACCTTCGATTCTTCAAGCCGTTGCCTTTATATTCATGGACTTTGCTAGATCGGGTTGTGAGATTGTAGCTTCTGTGTCAATTGTTTCCTTGCAGGATTCGTCTAGTGCTTATGAACTCACAGAGGTAAGCGCGGGAGGAAAGCTGGGGAGGCACAATCTTCGTATTCAGCAATTGGGTCCTGATACTGTCACCGAGTTATCCTCTCTGCACTTGTCTGTTGGTGATCAAACGCAGGACCTGCATAGTACTCTTGTATTGGACCATCCACGGGGCTATTCTCGACAACTTCACAAGTGCATTGTTGCTCATTCACAGGGACAGGCAGTTTTTGACGGAAACATTAAGGTTAACAGGTATGTATATGCACTTATGCTGCAATATGTGAATGAAATGCACTCCGTACAATCTAATGAGAGACTAAGGTTGTGGTTGATTTCTACAATGGAAAGAGAAATGAGAAAGTATTTCCCAGTTTTTGTTTTTCAAAGTTTTAGATGAGAAAGTGATTAGTAAATAGTGTGAAATTGTTTCACAAAATGGTTTCTATAACTAAAAAATGTTGAAAAGGAAACAAACAGATCTCCGGATGAAAAAGTTGCTTTCATTCATTGATCGTGCTAAATAAAACAGGGGCATGTGTTTTCAATTTCAATATGTATGAGCCACTCTCTATACGAGCAATGTACTACTGTGGTGCAGGTATGCTCAGCAGACTGATGCAGGTCAGTTAACAAGAAGTCTTCTGCTTGAACCTCGTGCGACTGTGAATGTTAAACCAAATCTCCAAATTGTGGCGGATGATGTCAAGTGTTCCCATGGGGCTGCAATAAGTGATCTGGAAGAAAGTCAGCTCCTCTATTTCCAGGCACGTGGCATCGACCAAAACACTGCTAGAAGAGTTCTAATTTTTGCCTTTGGAGGAGAGGTGATAGATAAGTTTCCTTGTTCTTCCATTAGAGACAGAGTACGCAGTCATATTAAAAATTTGTTGGATCCATCCTCTAATTGATCATCATACTAGGCGTTTGTTAAATGTAAAATGACAATTTGAAATAAAAATGAAATTCTTTTCATCAGAATTAATTTGTTCGACAACATTGAAGTGTATGTAGCTTGATGCTTCGTCGTGTATGACTGATCTGTGGATGTGTTTTTTTAGTGAAAAATGCATTTGTTTGTAGGAATTTACAATCCTTATGTTATTTACTAAAAGTAACAACTCTAATTCGCTGAAATTTATTGAGAACCATGAGATTATCGGTGAAATCAGGAAAACTTGCCAACCAGCTTGTTCAGAGTTCGGACGTTGAATCTGATTCATCCATCAAATAGTGTATTGCTCTTAGTGCATTCAGCTAGCAATCCATGGCCAGGGTTTTTCCTTCAAGCACATGGAATGTTGGTCATATATTCTTCTGAGACTTTTTATCTGTTCCAGAACATTTTATTTTTGTGGGTTAAAAGTCCAATGAATTTAATAGGAATCGTGTAAAATTCACTCAATAGGTGTGTCAAAAGAAGAATGTTAATAGAATATGTTGCTGACGTTTCTCCTTTACTGAAATCCTAAGATGCAAATAGACTCACGTATGGTTTGTTGTGTTGGCGTCTGATTTGACAAGTTTTGGTGCTTTCAGCTGCCTTATTTGATTTACTCTGTTTCAAACACAATTTTCCTGCTTCAAACAACAAAATCGAAACAATCACTTCTGCAAAGCCAATTTGGTTCTAACAACTCTTAATCCAAAAGTTACATGGAGTTCATAGCGATAACAAATCTAACAATTTGGGCTTGAAGTTAAGTTTGTAGTTATTACACAGAATTTTCTTTTGAAAATTAACAGTTGCAAGCATGTATGTGATTCCCATAAGTGAAGCCATATTACTGGGTCAAAACATGTCATACATGACTTGCCAAAAAATGAGGGTCTGGCAAATATTACAGGGAAAGCATACACACCCAATATAGATGCATTAGTTATCCATTAGTAAGAAAATGTGATAGCATTTTATTGGTTATTCCTGCCCTTGGTTTGTTATAAAATGTTTTTATATAGCTTCTAGATACCTTCCTTATTTTGTTGACTTAAAAATATGCGTATTTTAAATACTACAAATAACATTTAAACTTTTTGACACGAAAACTGTTTTGTTAAAAAAATTGAAATTAAAATTCGTTTATTATTTTGTTATTAGTAATACATTTAAACTTTCATTTATTTATTAATGTTAGGTTACCTGCATCTTTGAATCCGTTGCATTGGTAAATGGCACTGTAACACTTTACTGATTGAAACTAACGGTTTTATTTCTATTTCCCTTTGTATCTCTCTTTAATTTCTATCAAGTCAATCAAATTATACAACTTTTTAAAATACCTTCATTTTTATTTTTTCATAAATTAGAAGTTGAATTTTATTTCTTTCTTCTTTAATCCTATCCTCTTTACTGCTTTCCTCAAAACCAAACAGGATATTAGTTTTCGGCAGGGAATATTTCATTCTAAAACTTAAATGCAATAATTAGATTGAGGCTGTAATTCCGAATCATGTTAATCTGCAATGGTTGGAATCCACCTTCAATTACATATTTTCTTCTCTTACTAGTGACTGCTCTAAGCTCAGTCAGTACATTTGTATCCCCACCAATATACACCCACATCTCTTGGCTCGAACCAGAGAAAGAAAAGGAGCAAAAAAAGAAAGAATGGAAAAGGCCTCCGCTACTAAAAATTTCTATCATTTTTCATCTCTATAAACCTGGATAATAGATGGGAAAAGAAATTGACTACGATGACGGAACAAAAAGGAGAACAGTTTAAAAGGCTTTACATGGTTCTTTCTCCTAAAGAGACTTCCCAAAATCGGTCCACAATGCCCATTCCTAAGCTCATTTTAATTGCATTTCGCATCTACCAAGTCTGAATAGAGCTATACCGGCGGCTTCTTGCCAATGAAATGTACGGTTCTTCTATTCACAACTTATGTTGCAAGACCAGAATGAACATCGAAAAATGGGTCGACTTTGAGTTGAGCAAGGTCTCATGGATACTTCCCTGATGATTTCCAGATTCTTCCTTCAAGTGATATCACCATTACAGTCACATCATCATGATACTTCCTCCGATCTCCTTGAGGTATATCCAGCAACTCATGGAAATCCATTCCTGCAACCATTGAGTTTAAAATCACTACTCTAAATCTATAAGCAGTAGTTGACAAGCCCAATCATTTGAGCAAACACTTAATTCCAATATTGCATCAATAATTTTCTTGTTCTATCATATTTCCTTGTGTTAGCTAACTTAACCCCTACCATAGGCTGGGGTTGTAAAATACAAACTGACCACTGGGATCAAACCTTTTCTCTACTAGAACCAACCAATCCTATGCACATAGAAAAGAAAACCCTCTAAGATCCGTCCATAAGAGGGATAATATAGATATAAAAAAATGTGAATATGTAAAGTCAGATAACTTCTAAAGAATAAAAAATTGTATAATAGGTGCTCACAAACACGTAAAGCAGTGCCCCCAGAAAGTCAAGATATCAAACATACTATTATAGCAGCACCCAATGAATAACACAATACTACTAAGACAACACATTATTGAAACAAGTTTTTCAAAAAGAAAAATGGCTCAAAAATACGACGCGAAACAGCAGTTAAAGACAAAAGATAACCATATATTAAATCACTGCTCGAGATATAAGGGGGGATACATTTCATTCAATTTTCCAAAATATATACACTGCAACTTTTGTGTAAACAACTTAAAATATCCATTACTTTGTTCTTCGGGCAAAATCCAGTTAAAATAAATATATCCTCGATGTCAAAAGGAAGAGTCACATCACATACGTAATGACTAGGCCATAAATATAGTATATGCATAGGTCCCCAAGTCAACCAATAAAAAAGTTTGACAAAATTACTATTTTAGTTCACTATTAATTCTTGATATGTAATTTTGGTCCTCACGATCTTCTTCAGCAATTTTAGTCCCCCACATTTAAAAAAAATCACAATTTTGATCCAATTTTCACTTTTGAAAACATTAATTATTTTAGATCTAAGATTCAATTAGACCAAAATAAAAGAAAAAATAACCACTTGTGCACAATTGAGAAATAAACCAAAATTGCAAATCTTGACTAAAATCACGGGAGAAAAAAGGGAAACAGCCAAAATGACATAGTACAAATTAAAAGGGGACCAAAGTTACACTTTAACCAAGAAGTTTTAATGTTCGACTATTTTTGAACAAACATTGGGAGAAGACATGCTTTTACTAATTATATAAATGAAGTATCAATTCAAATTTATAAATTAATTGTAATTTCCTCCATTTTTGTCGTAAGACAAATTTAACATGTTCACATGAGCATATGCAAAGATCTAAGAAAGATTCATGTGAGAAGAAGATCTTTTTACCAGCCTTCTTGGCAGCACGTAGGAGCAGCTCTTCTATTAAATGCTGGGCAGGATCTCCATCCGGAAACTTTTCCATAAAGCTCTCGACCTGAGAAACCACTTCTTGATTGCTTAGGTATTGATACAAACCATCAGATGAGAGGATCAAGAACTGATCTCTAGGGCATAATCTATGGTGACGCAATGAAGGGAAGCAGGATATATATGGAGCAGTGCCAATATATTCGTTACGAAACATTTCCAGCACCACATCATTCCACTTTGGCTGCAGAAACACGGAAAATATCAAGTCAGCATAATTTTCTTACAATATTTAAGTCTAAGAATTGCTTCCTTGAACAAGAGGGATGATAAACAAGCAGGATTCCATTTCGTGTGAATGAGAATGGCCATGTGCAGCAGTGCCGTAGGCACTAAAAAAAGTCAGGTATCATGAAATGAAATGTCTCTCCATAGCCAGAGTAGGAAGTTTGGCTTACTCTAAAACCAAGTCTTAAAGCTAGGATGACCCAACCACACATCTAAACACCATCACAAAAGATGAATACACATAAAAGCTATGCACTATTTCTCCAAGTCCAAAATTAAAAACAATTTTCTGCAGGTTATCCAAAATAATTTAAACTTCATGTAAGCTTTTCTTGTTGACACTAAGTCCTAGCCTGTTCTATCCAAAGAAAATTTTTATACAGACCGAATACATTGTAAATAGATTATACAGTGCCCAAGAATAACAATCAATGCTCCTATTACATAATAGTGGATATCAAAGTCAATAATCTTCTCGTATCTGACAGTCAAAAGTAAACAAGAATGAAATATTAGTACAAGTATTTTAAATATTTGAAGGCACCATACCTGTTTCAAAAATCCAGCACCAAAAGCTCTAGTAACCTTAAGACGGCCTTTCACTCTATCATTCACAATACAATGGCTATCATCAGGATGCTCATTCTTAATTCTAACAACTTCCTGCAAAACATTAAGCTTCAATTTTCAGACATCCAATACGAATTGATCAGGACATGATTGGATGAAAAGGAAATAAAACTAATAGTGGCAGAACTTCTAAAATTAAGCACACCGCAAATAAGCACAAAGAAAAAAAATCTAAATTCAATATAACACTCACATGACTCGTAAATGAAAGCTACAAAGTGAAAAATAACATGCCACATAAAATAAAAAAATAAAAACAAAGAATGCTGAATTTGGATCAAATCTTCAAGAGACAATCTCATCCCTGGTCTTTGGGATATGCTAAGACAAGCACACACATCACACGAAGAGAGCAGTAGTAAAACCTAAAGGGAAAATGCAGCATCATTAGTAATATATGAATACAGTATGATATTCCAGAAAGCTACCAAAGGAAATACAGAACAATTGAAGGATACTGAAGCCTTATAATTAACCATGAAATCTTGCACCCATGTGTTAGAATGTAGAAAATATATCATCAGACGAAGGATGAATAAGTACAGACAAAAACAAGACAAGAAGTATTGCAATGTGACAGTCCGAAGGAAAACAGAGAATGTGGCCCAATTACAAACTTGCCTCTTCAATGCTGGTGCTGTGATCAGTGGACAGCTGCAATGCAACCAACCTCCGTTCCCTAGCAGGACCCTCATTTCCTAACACGACACCACCTTCGTCTGGAGCCGAAGACTCCTCCACTATGCACTCCCCGCTTGACCCAATGCCTCCACCATTTCCCGTTTCCTTACTAGTAGCGTGAACCTCCTCACACTCATAATGTGCCACAATGGCGCGGCTATCCCCCACGTTCATAACATAAACATCCTCATCCCTCATCAACACAGCCAACAGACACGACCCCATCAGAGCAAGCTCCGGATTGGTATCAATCAGCTTATCCGTCATATCCAAATAAGCAAGCTCAGTCATCTCAAGCGCCCTAGACAACGCTCCCAAAACCAACTCATGATCCACAGGCCCCACTTTTCGCTTCCTCCCACCGTGACCCTTCTCCTCCTCCTCCTCCTCTGCCGTCGTTGGATTTTCCACCTCAACCTTCTCTTTCTCCTCCCCCACGCCCAAGCTCCACGGCAACAAACTCCTCCCGTGACCCTCTTTATGCCTCGACAACCCATGCTTCAACTTAGACAAAATCAACCACCGTCTACTACCTCCCGAACCCTCCTTGCTAGCACTGAGCGCATCATCAACCGAAAACGCAAACCTATCAGACCCGGAAAGATCGAGCCCGTTCTCCGCATCATCCTCCTCAGCCAAAAACTCCCACAGCCTTCTCCTCCTACTTTCAGTCCCCTCCGCTTGAAACGTCACTCTCTTAACCGATCCTCGGAGAGAACTAGAGTCTTCCTCCACCTCCACCTCATTCCGGGGTTCAGCTTCATTATCCTCCAGCTCAGGTGCAGGGTTAGTTCCCTGCACCTGCGACTGCGGTTCTTCAAGTTCCCAAAACAAACCCTGGAGCTCTTTGTGAAGGGCACGGTAAAGATTACCCATGAGAAACTCTGGCGCATCAGGGCCATTGAAACCGTCGTATATCCCTACGAACAACCAACCCTGTTCTTCCGATACAACGACATGCACACGATCCTCCCCCGCTTTTCCCAGCGCCCACTGCACATTGCTCTCGTTCTCCGTCTCACTCGTCGCTTCCGTCTTCCCCTTCCGCCCCACAGGCACCACCCAAGGCCGCTTCTTCTCCGAGAGACTCCGCTGGAAGGCCTTTCTCAACCCGGCAATGCTCTTCTTCCGCTTCTTCTTCACATACACTCCACCACCGAGCGGAGCAGAGAAGGGCACTCCCGCAGAGCTCGAAACGGAGTCGTCGAGGGGTCCCGAGAGCGCGCCGCTCTCAATTGGCCCTGAGAGAAAGAACGCCTTCCGCTCTCTCTCAGAGGGAGCAGTTTCTCCTCCTCTGGGAGCGGGCTGCAGAGGGAGAGCGCTGAAGGAAGCCGTTCCTCTGAAGCCATTGACGGTGGTGTCGTCATCCTCGGACTGGAGCACGGTTTTGGGCACGGAACTGTTGGCGCTGACCGAGGCTCCGGAAATGGCCTTGAATGCGGTTTCGGGGAAATCGGAGCGATGAGAAGGGGAGAAGCGGAGAGAGTTGGAGGGAGAGAGGATGCGATCGGAATGAGAGGGAGAGAGAAAGCGCGCGGAGGATCTGACGTAGCAGAAAGAGTGGCCTAGGGTTTCGTCCAATGGCTCTGTCTCCGCAAAAACCAACTGGCTCTGGTTATGGTTATGGTTATGGCCATGGCCACCATGGCCACCATGGCCATGATTGGAAGATGCCTTGAAGCATGAAAAGAGATTGCAGAGTCCATTGCTTCCCATCACATTTGAGTTCCCCCAACCAAACCCCACCCAACAAAACTCACTCTACTAATTCACCTTCTCTCCACAACACAATTAAATAAATTCAAAACCAACACACAAACAACAACTATGCTCAGAACCAGCAACCCAAAACAATACAAACTCACTCTCTTACTTACTTACACACATCAAAATAATACACCCCACTTAAATAATAATAATAATATTCTAAATAATATTATATCCTTTTTTTCCGTTTTTTTTTCAAATCAAAATATTTGTTGTCTTCTGTGCCCTTTGTTGGCACTGTCCGAGTTTGACGGTTATGTGAGCTGGCATCTCCGCAATTACTCTTTTTCTTCCAGTTTTCTTTTTCTTTTTTTTCAAACGCCTCTTCCACAGCTCATCCTTCATAAATACTTTTATACCTTATTTATTGCTACTTCTGTTATTAATCATACTTTCATTAAACTTAATTCAAACATTAATCACACTTTAATTATTTATCATCTACATAAACCTTTACAATTCCACACCATTCAAATACTGCATTCACTTTTAAGTAACTCCATTTTAAAATTATTAAAATACGGAAAATATAATTGAATATACTAATACATTATTTTCTCATTTTTGGATGATAAAAATATTTTCTGTTTTATTCAGCGGACATACGCGGTTTAAGAAGACGGTATGAAACTTTATTTTAAAACAAGTATCTGTCCTTTGACATTTTTTACAAGTGTCAGAGCAGAATAAAGTGTGCAATATTGTATAAAGAAAAAGAAGAAAAACAAAAGGCATTTTTAAAGCTTCATATAATAGCAGTAGTAAATGTCCATGGTCTTTGTTGACTTCTTTAAATCGGATTTTAATCTGGAAAAATAAATTATCATGTCTAAATTTCTAAAATAATTTTTCAAAGAAACTTAAATAAGTTTATCATACCAGGCGTGAGTAAGGATAATTTAGACAATTCATGTAATTTCTGTTGGCTTCTTAATCAACTCTTTATAATTAATTAAAAACAAAAATAAACTGTGTTCCATTAATTATTTTTCATGCATATTTATCTTCATCGAGAATCAAATTAGAAACGTTTATTGAAATTTGAACATTTTATTATTTTATAATATATTCAGTATAATAAGACAGATGGTCCATCCTTCACATACTCAAATAAAACCGTCAAACTCAACAATCAATTTTTTATCATATTTAAATGAATGATCTCATCAGAATAGAGAAACATAAACTTTACGTTAATTCACATCAATAAATTGTTTGATATTACCAAATTTAATGACTTTTTGAATTATGTAACTCACTATTTATTTAATTTACAATTACTTTATGCAAAGATAATTAATATTAATTATAGTATTACTATATATATATATATATATATAAAAATTAAGTGATAATAATTGTTCAATTGATTTATAATTATGTTACTAACTATTTACCCTATTCATAATAAATTTATATTGAGAAGATAAAATATTTAAACATTTGTTATAATAATTATTTTCTTATCATTTATCACCTTTTATTAAACAAAATTTCGAATCGTTTAAATTTAACTTAGACAGATGAAAAAAAAGAAATACATACTAAACTTTTTCATAATTCTCAACAATAAAACCCTATTGACTTCATGTATTAGCAATCCTAACTATTTATTTGTTTCACCGTGTATTATTGTAAGTTAAAACCATAATATACATATTGATATATTTTATACAAAATAAATACTTAAAAAATATAAAATTTGACAAAGTTAATTTAATAAAAGTTATACCAAGACCTTGATGGATCTTGACTACTGATTTTATGAGAACCAAAATATATAGTACGTGTAAGAAATTTATCTTTTATTTTATTTTGTAATATTGTTTTGATAAATCATTAAAAAAATCTATTCAAATAAAATGTATTTCCTATTCTTATAAAAAAAATTGTCATAATTCAAATATTATTAATAAATTATTTAAATTTCGATGGTTAAAAGCATTCACAATAAAAGAGTAAAGTTCAAATTTTAAACTAGTTTTTTTAGATGATATTACCAACTTAATGAGCAAGTAAAAAAAGTTATAATCAATTTAGTAGTTGTTTGATATTACCATTTTTTTGTGTTGTCAAATTTAGTAGTTGTTTGAGTTTTATCTTTAAAAGGTTATTTTTTTTAGATTTAATACCTATTTTACTTTTCTTTTGTTAGTTTTGTTTAAATGTTTTTTCTATTTTTTTAGTTATTTAAAGTGATTTCATCTTTTTTGTAAAAATGATTCAATTTGTTCTTTTTTTTTTCACATTGTTTAAAACGTTAACAACACAAATACTGGCAAAATCAACCCAATTGAGGTGACAATGTTAAAAGTATTTGGCCTTAATTAAAATTTTTCCGTTATAATTATTCTCCCCCTTCTGATTTTTGTTCTCGGACAGACCCAGTCTTAAGGTGTCCCTCTAGGTTTCGTAGGGTTTTCTTATTCTCCTTTATCTTAGTTAGGGATCGTCTTCTCCTTTTCTGGTTAGGAGTCGTGATTGACTAGATTGAATTTGGGTTTTGTTATTTGGGGTTTCTTCTCTACAGGTTTTGATATCGCGATTTGGGGTTAGAGTTTTGATTTGGGTTTTGTTATATGGGGTTTTTGTTCTTAATTCTTCTATACAAGTTTTGATCTTACAATTTGGGGTTATGGTTTTGATTTGGGTTGTGTTATTTGGGATTTATGCTCTTTATTTTTCTCTACAAGTTTTGATCTACGACTTGGAGCTAAGGTTTTGATTTGGGTTCTATTATTTGGGGGCTTTGTTCTTGATTATTCTCTACAGGTTTTGATCTCGCAATTTGAAGCTAGAATTTTGATTTAGTTATATTATCTGGGGTTTCTGTTCTTTATTCTTCTCTATAGGTTTTGATCTCACGATATAAGACTAGGGTTTTGATTTGAAATTCTGTAATTTTTTTTATTTGGAGGATGATGGTTCAGTTGTGGTTATTTGATGGTGGTTTGGTTTGGGGTTTTCAGTGGTGCTTTAGTTGCGAGCAGTGGTGGCTGACAATGTGTTTAGAAAGAAGAAGATGATAATCTATTAAGAATAAAATAAAAAAATATATAAAAACCTTTTAACATTGTCATAGTGACCACCTATTACAAAACTGAACAAGTCATTCAAAATTGGCTAAGGGCAACATTACATGTTAGGATTTTAAATCCAAATTAGCAAAAAAGATCAAATTGAATCATTTTTACAAAAGATAAGACCATTTGAACAACTGACCATGAACAAAACTAACAAACTAGAAGACAAAAATAGATATCAAACATTTTTTTATTTCTCATATTTTAAAACAATATAAGTATATTATTGTATTTTAATGAACAATGTGTATAAATTTTGAAAGCCAATTTCAATATAACAAGGGTCCACTCACAATTCAATATTATTATAATTTCATATATATTTTTTGTTTACATTTAAATATTTATTTCATGATTTAAATATTAATAATATATTATATTTATTGACAGTAAGTACTGATCATGATCTACTAATCATTTTAATTAATCTAAATATGTCAATAATCAAGTTTAAACGGTTTAAACGAATTTAGGTTGTGATTAAATTGACCTTAATCAAAAGTTCATAAACAAAATTAGAATACAAAATAAATATACGATTGATGAAATTCTTTTACTACACATTTATTATAATATAATTATTTAATTGATCGAAATTGAACTAATTTAAATATGAGAGTAGTATTTTAACATGTATATTTGATTAATTCGAATACCGATTATCCAAATAGAGAATAACAAGTTACATGAAAATTTGTTTTAATTTCACATTAAATTTAAACAAATAATTTTCACATTAATTAATCTTAGGTAATATCTTTTATATGAGATGTAATTACATTTAATTCAACATTCAATTATTAGAAAAATAATCTAAATATTAAGTAATGATGTTATCACTTACACCCTTAAACAATGCAAATTATTCTCAGTTTAATTTTTAAAAAATTATTATGAAAATAATAAATTTTCATAGTTTATAACTAAATAATAATATATAATTTATTCTTACTATTAATATGCATAATATTTTATCGATAAATAAATTTGACTGTATTATACTTTTTAAAGTTTACTTTATTGCACTATTTTATTTCCTGATAAGATATCATTTCATTACTATTTAGTTTTTATTTTTATATATTGTAAAAGTCTTCAAGAAAAATATAATTAGAAAAGCAACAATATGGCAGATTATAGAGTAATTTACTTTATCATGATGGTATAAGTAACCAAGTAATATAATTTTAAAATTTTAAATATAATTAAAAAAAACACAACTATAAATTTTATATATAAAATAAGAGCATTGAATTGTATATTAGTATATATTGTATATGATAAAATAACAGTGTTTTTTTTATTATTTGAATTTGAATGAATACTTAATTAATTTTCAGTGTTGAGCAGTTTTATATTGAATGAAATAGCTTAATTACATTATAGTAATATGCAAAGGAATCTCACACAGCATATAGTAGCATGTGAAATGTGATTGGGAGCAGTTAGTAAGTATGCATGACAGAATAGGTACTTTGAAGTTTGAATTCCAGAATCTACTTCCAAAGTCTCAATCAAAGTCCTAGTGCCCTCATTTTACTACTTTACCTTATGCTTTTTTAACAAAGATTCACACAAAAAGTGTAAGATTCATCCATTTATGTCACACCCACTTAAATATTTTTTTAAATTTATTAAATTTAATTTCTTGGATAATATCTTTTAAAATATGAAGAAAAAAAAACAATTGTAAATTTATGTACAAATTAACACATAAATATCAAAAATATATTTTACACACTCCTAAATAAACATGTTGTCATATAATATCAAGATCTGTCTCTTTCTCATCTCTGCAAGTCAAAGAGTTTGTTGGTTGGAGGGACGCATGAAGCTAAACGACGAGAAGCATGATTCAAAGTCACGACACTGTTATGAACTTTTTACCTTTTTTATTTTTATCATTTTTATTATTTTTCTTATACTAAAATAAAATCCACAGTCCCTCTATTTTTATATATATAAATAGGTAAAATATAATAACTAATTTTAAAATTTATGAGA